TTGGTCTCCACAGCCCTTTGTAGCAATCAGTCCCACATATTCACCATGCTCTGGCCTGAAGAAATTCCTCTTTATCTCAGTTCTAAAATTCCTACTCTGAGCCTGCGCCCTTGGGTCTTAGTCTCTCCTACTAGTGGAAACATCTTCTCCATGTCCACTATATCCAGGCCTCTCAGTATTCTGTAAGTTTCAATGAGGTCCCTCCTTCATCCTTCTAAACTCCATTGAGTACAGACTCAGAGTCCTCAACTGCTCCTCATATGACAAGCCCTTTATCCCATGATTATCCTTGTAAATCTCTTCTGAACCCCCTCCAACACCAGCACTCCTTCCCTTAGATATGGGGCAAAAACTACTCACAATATTCCAAATGCAATCTGACCAGAGCCTTATACAGCCACAGCAGTACATCCCTTCTCTTGTATTGTAGCCCTCTTGAAATGAATGCCAACGTTGCATTTGCTTTTCTAACTGGCAACTTGAACCTGAATGTTAACCTGAAGATAATCCAGAACTAGAACTCCTAAGTCCTTTGTGGTTTGGTTTTCTGAAGCCTTTCCTTATTTAGAAAATTGTCTATGCCTTTATTCTTCCTACCATAGTGCATAGCCTCACACTTTCCCACTTGTATTCTGTCTACTTCTTCTTTGCTCAGCTTGTCCAAGTCTTACGCATCCTCCCCACTTTCTCAATACTACCTGTCCCTCCACCTATCTTTGTGTCATCTGCAAACTTAGGAACAGTACCCTCAGTTCCTTCATTGAGATCATTAATGTATAATGTGAACAGTTGTGGTCCCAACACTGACCCCTATGGAACTCCACAAGTCACCGGCTGCCATGAAAAAGACTCTTTATCCCCACTCTCTGCCTTCTGCCAGTCAGCCAATCCTCTATTCCATGCCAGTATTTTGCTCCTAACCCCATGGGCTCTTATCTTATTTAGCAGCTTCCTGTGTGGCACATTGTCAAAGGCCTTCTAGAAATCCAAATAGATCATGTCCACTAGCTCGTTACCTCCTCAAAGAATTCTATTGGAATTGTCGAGCATGACCTCCCCTTGTAGAAACTGTGCTGACTCGGCCCTATTTCACCATGCGCTTCCAAATACTCCACAATCACTTACGTAAAAATGGACTCTATAACCTTACAAACGACTGAGGTCAGGCAACCAGCCTATAGTTTCCAGTCTTCTGTCCCCCTCCCTTTTTAAACAGGGTTGTTACATTGGCCATTTTCCAGTCCTCTGGCACCCTTCCTGGCTCCAGTGATTCCTGAAAGATCACCATCGATACCTCTACAATCTCCTCAGCTATCTCCTTTGGAACCCTGGGGTGTAGTTCACCCGTTCCAGGTGAGTTTTGCATGGCAGACTCAGTGGCGTCCAGTGTTACTGATATCGAAGCTGCTGAGCTGCGAGCAGCTCCTGGTCAAAGCATTGGGAAGGGCAGGTTAAAGTCCTCAATTGGATGGTAGTCCTGGTGATGACCTAACAATGGGATACAGCATGGCTCCTACTTTCAATCCCAGCATTGAAACTTCTCAGGTTTTGAGAATATTTAGTGTGTGGCAATTTATAAGTTTTTGACGTCTTTCAACGCCATTAACTGCTATGATCCACTGATCTCCTTTTCATTCCTAACATCGATGGAAATTTTGTCATTATCTGTGCCTCTCTCCTCTGACTCCCTGTTTTAACTCCTTTCAATTAGATTTCAACTCCTTATACAGCATTATCCAAACTGAGACATTGTATTTATTTGCTCATGGATGTATGCATTGCTGTCTAGGGTGGGGAGGCGGTGGGTGGGGGGGATGTTGGATGAGCGCAGAATCAAGTACATTGCTATGGTTTGGAGTCACATTTAGGCCACACCAGGTAAGGACAGCAAATTTCCTTCCCTAAATGGCATTTGTGAAACAGATAAGTTTTTATGACAATCAGCAGTTGTTACATCATCACTATAGGCCTAGCTTGTTATTCCAGATAATTATTAAATTCAAATTTCACCATCTGCCATGATGGAATTTGATCCTTAGGACCTTAGTCTGATTATTAGCCCAGTGACATTACCATTGCATCTTAACTTTCTGTAACCATATTATATTTTCCCTTCTTTTTCTCCTCAAATTTTCTCCAGTCTTTGATATCATTAAATACACCATTGCCCTCCATTTTATAACTTGCCCTCATTTGATTTCACTCTTATCTATCAGACATAGAACATAGAACATAGAACATAGAACATTACAGCGCAGTACAGGCCCTTCGGCCCTCGATGTTGGACAGCATCCAATGCATCTCTTCCCACTCTTATAATGCAGCAAGTTCCATTTTTATCCTCCTCCACTTTATCATTTTCATATTGCTCCTCATCCACAGACATCAGTCAGTCTCCACACATGCATTGATGATACCAAGCCTCATCTTCCAATTTCTCATAACTTCTTATCGTCTGTACTAGCTGTTGTTTTTTGGTATCTGGTTTATAAGAACTTAAGCCTTGCTAGCATAGGATCAGGTATGACCGTAAAACATTTAGTTATTAGGCAGTTTTATTAAGAGTTAAGGCAAGACAATAGTCTGGGCGGCAATTTACAGAACATGAGCTATATATTTCACATGTTAAATGTGCATAGACAGAAGAGTGCATTTTTCCCAAAGTTTATGGATCCACAAGATCTTAAGATATAGGAGCAGAAATAGGCCATTCAGCCCATCAAGTTCACTCCCCCATTCAATGAGATCATAGCTGATTTGATAATTCTCAACTCCACTTTCTTGCCTTTTCCTCATAATCCTTGATACCCTTACTGTTAAAGAGCTGTTTACCTCAGCCTGTAGTAGACAACTCCACTGGTTCACTATCCACGGAGAGAAAAAGTTCCTCCTCATCACTGTTTTCTACACCATCCCCCAACCCTCCCACACCTGCCAAGGGAAATTTGCTACAGCTGAATTGCAGTTTTGCAGTTTCTGCAGCCTTGCTTGAGCTCAGATTTCACTGGTAAGGACTGCAATGGGTTTGTTGGTCCGTATAACAGCTTGCATGTCATTGTGGGCGGTGGCAAATTTCTGAGTACAGTTCAAATAGAGGAAGATAAACACATGACTTCCCAGTTGACAGAGTCAAGGACTTTTGGTGGATTGCCCTCAACATACAAACTCTGCACCCTTGCCATTGATTCCAACCCTTGTCCTGCTCTGCATCAAGGCCAGTTACATTGTTTACAACTTCAATGTTCTATGTCACCATGAGCTCAGACTGCAGCTCCACGTCCTCTTCTTTTTGAGTGTTTTCTGAATTCCACCTCCATAATGTAATTTGCCATAATTCCTACCACACTCCAAACGCAGTTGAAATTTTTATCATGCCCTTGTGATATCCAGACTTGATTATTCCGATGCCCTTCTAGTCGGCTATTCATCATCCTTAATGAACCTCGTCCTTGCCAATCACCAAGTCTTCAATGTATCCAATTTAAAACTCTCATCATTGTGTTTAAATTCATCATGACCTTTAGTAATTTCTTCCCTGTGTAACTTCACCTACTTCTCATTCATTAACTTCACATCTTTGATTAAGTTTTAATGTTCCTCTTTGCTCAGCATCTTTTATTCCTCAGGAAACTTTAATGTGTTATAAGTGCTACAAAATGACAAAATTTAACAAAATGACAAAATTTATTTTGTCTGGGTGAAAATATCAATGTTTTCCATCCCTGGATGTCTTAAGAGTCAGATACTTTGAATGGGCCTGAAGTGACATACAGTTCATGATCATGTTTTTCTGGTGCAAATCTTTTTAAATTAACTTTAATTATTTATACTGGTAGGAACATGACACTAAGCTGAAAGGTTCTGGTATAGTAAAATAACCACTAGGTTAAGGCATCATACCGTAACTTCCCCCCCTCAGTGGTCGAGAACGCCCTCAACCGTGTCTCCCACATCTCCTGCAACTCATCCCTCACATCCCGTCCACCCAATAAGAACCAAAAAAGAATCCCTCTCGTCCTCACGTACCACCCCACCAACCTCCGGATCCAACGCATCATCCTCCGACACTTCCGCCATCTGCAATCCGACCCCACCACCAAAGACATCTTTCCCTCCCCACCCTTACCTGCTTTCCAGAGGGACCATTCTCTCCGTGACTCCCTTGTCCGCTCCACACTCCCCTCCAGCCCCACCACACCCGGCACTTTTCCCTGCAACCGCAGGAAGTGCTACACCTGCCCCCATACCTCCTCCCTCACCCCCATCCCAGGCCCCAAGAAGACTTTCCACATCAAGCAGATGTTCACCTGCACATCTGCCAATGTGGTATACTGCATCCGCTGTACCCGGTGTGGCCTCCTCTACATCGGGGAAACCAAGCGGAGGCTCGGGGACCGCTTTGCAGAACACCTACGCTCGGTTCGCAATAAACAACTGCACCTCCCAGTCGCGAACCATTTCAACTCCCCCTCCCATTCCTCAGACGACATGTCCATCCTGGGCCTCCTGCAGTGCCACAACGATGCCACCCGAAGGTTGCATAACAGCAACTCATATTCCGCTTGGGAACCCTGCAGCCCAATGGTATCAATGTGGATTTCACAAGCTTCAAAATCTCCCCTCCCCCTACCGCATCCCAAAACCAGTCCAGCTCGTCCCCGCCTCCCTAACCTGTTCTTCCTCCCACCTCAAGCCACACCCCTATCTCCTACCTACTAACCTCATCCCGCCCCCTTGACCTGTCCGTCCTCCCTGGACTGACCTATCCCCTCCCTAACTCCCCACCTACACTCACCCTTACTGGCTCCATCCCCGCCTCTTCGACCTGTTTGTTTCCTCTCCACCTATCCTCTTCTCTATCCATCTTCTATCCGCCTCCCACTCTCTCCCTATTTATTTCAGAACCCCCTTCCCCTCCCCCCTTTTCTGATGAAGGGTCTAGGCCCGAAACGTCAGCCTTTCTGCTCCTATGATGCTGCTTGGCCTGCTGTGTTCATCCAGTTCTGCACCTTGTTGTCTCGGATTCTCCAGCATCTGCAATTCCTACTATCTCTGGAGACAATTAGACTCCTTGAACATGATTTCACGTGCACTGGCTGACCTCACTGCTTTAGCCAAATAGCCATTCATCATCTGTGAGCCTTTTATTAGCAAATGATGACCAGTTTTTCAATCACTGCGTGATTATCTTCTCGTCAAAGATCAACATCTCCATCAGGAGTTACTGAATAACAAGTGGAAGAAGCAGCCTGGAATACTGAGGCCAACACTAGTACCTCTAAGAGACCAGAAACTGAAGGTGGGACTTTTCACTGTTAGATTCAGTGATACCACCTTTAGTATCTGAACCATTAATAAAAACAAGCATTGCACTTAATTGGTTACTAATATCATCAGAAAGAGGAACTTGAAGTTACAAGTGTTTCCTGAACTTCTTTTACAAATATTATGCTTTTCAATACTGTTGCTCCCAGGTGTTGTGTTTAGATTACCCTCCATTTTTGTGAATAAGCCAGCCAATACAGAGACAACATTATCAAAGTGAGATGAACACAAACTTCTGGCAAGGAATTAGGGAAATAAATATGGGCCGTAACAAGGTCAGCCCAGTTTTCTCTTTAGTTTTATGGTTGTTGTGCATCTCATAGAAGAATTAGATATGTGCCTGCCTCTCCTGTTTCACCAAACAGAAGCCAAGTGCAGGTCTTTTGTGCCCATGATGTTAGATCCAAATGATTATCGATTTTATTTTTATATAAGCAAAGAAAATGTCGACGTAAGTGTATTTATTTACTGTAGTAAACTACAGGAATTGTGTTTTTTATTCATTTAATACAAGTCAAAATTTCATTAAAATGTGTAGGATTTTCCTGTAGGTTGTTGAATCCTGCCCTCAGTTCAAATAAGGGTCAGAAGCCTGTGCGGTATGGGAAACAATCACTCAGCATGACTTTCCTATGGAGCAACTGATAATGGTCAGGAGGCAGGTTCACTTTCCAATAAAGTGTGGCTGGCACGTTCTTGAAGTTGGAGTCCTAGATAAGGCCCTCCAGCTGGAAAGCAGCAGCAGTAGGATGCTGTGGCATTAAAGTGAAAGTGAGGATGCCCCACATGCAGGGGTTCTAGTTAAAATGTTTTTTAAACATTAAATAAAAAATGGTCCTTGCAGCTGGGTCACTGCTGGGAGTGGGGTAGGAAGGAAGCCTACTGAAGTTGTGGTCTGCAATTGCTGCTGTGCCCTAGCAAGCAGAAGAATTCTTGACATCATGTCTGCCTGCAGCACTGAAAACCATTCCCCATCACCTACAGAAAATGTAGGCCAAATGAAAAATCTCAATCAACTTTTTTCAATCGGCCACCAACCAGTTTAATTGGCCATCAAGCACATGCTGGCGAGAATACCTGTTGCCCTCACTATCCTGCTCTGGGAAAATGTCCAGGGGCAGGATGAAGCAGGGGCACACCAACTACGGCACTATTTTTAATGGTGGTCAATCTCTGCTTCCAGCTTAGTGGGAGCTATAAGTTCAGCTTCAGATCTTCACTCATTTCTCATTGTTTAATTTCCCAAATTACTTTACGTAAATTAAAACATGACACAAAACTCATCTAAATCTCGAGAAAACTGTAATTTGGATTCCAAGAAGGGGAATATTCTAGTATATAATGCATGGTTAAAGGAAAAAAAAATTAGAAATATATGATTGAATTTCCAAAGAGATTGACAACTTCACTGGTGATAAGCAGAGATCTTGGAGAAATTGCCACTTTTCCAGAAAACTCTAAGATTCTGTTGGTCTCTCATTGAGGTTACAACAGGAGTTTAGGACAGCTCTGTGGAAGTTCAGTCCTTATGTATTTAACCAACATGCATTTAGTTTATTTTTGTTCATTTCAGGTTAGTGTAGGTTATATCAATGATATTTTAATAATGGCTATTCAGCACAATTTTTTAGAAAGACATTTAAAATATACAGTAACATTTAACCTTCGCACATTATTCACTGAATGCATCTAAAGCATTGTAGTGATTCCCTACTATCTTATAAATAATTCTTGTTTCCCATCTTGAATCAAATCATTATTTCCTTGCAACACTAAAGATGAAATTATTGAAATGATGTATAAATATTACTGATGATGTTTGTCTAGTGTTTAATGGTATAAAATAGAAAAGTGCATCGTCGGTCTCAAGTGAGTTAAAGCTAAATTCTTGTATCAATGGTGTAATTTAAATATTATCACAAATAGTATTTTTCATTTTGGATAAACCGTAATTTGAAATTGAAAAATTTTCCAAATACTGTAAAAGTTAATGCTCTCAGATGTCTCAAACACTGGAGTTAAATTTGATATATGTATTATTTGTGATCATTGCTATTCAAAGAGTATGGTACACCATAGAACACTACTCATTTCACTGTATTATCTTAGATCTTTCAAGAATTAAGGCAATTGGTGTTATAATTATGCTTACAAAAGTAACAGAAATTCTACTAATATTTCTTTACTACAATCTTAGTGTAAACCCTTTAGAGCAGAATGAGGTTCCTGCCAACTTTGCAACAGGCTGCCCAAAATTCTGCAGTTCAAAATCTAGTGTTAATAAATGCAAAGATAGTCACACGGTTTCCTAGTTTATTCGTCCACTTTGTTGGTGTTGGACTGCAGGTGGCAGATTTGAAGAATTGGAAGCAGTAATTGAAATGCACCTTGAATGTAGGTAGTACTGTTAGAGCCCTGTAAAGATAAATGCCACGCAAATTAGTTCCTTTAATTGTTAACAATTTTTTAGTACACATAGACAGGAGTTCATATTCTTCATAATCAAATCCAATAAGAAATTCTTCCTGCTTTCCAACCAACTGGCTCACTTTCAAAAGGGACTGACACAGATTGGAATTCTCCAAGCAGATAGTGTGACTCTCAAACAGATAAATTATACTAGGTGTTTGTACAGACCTTTTCAGCAGCGATTAAATGAATGGCAAATAGTGAATCATCATATCATAAAATATCTCGTAAAATCTAGCCCACAGTGTTACAAAGCTTACAGCAACGGTTCAGGGAGCAGCATACATTACGAGCTAATGGTAGCATCTTAGGACTGAATGTATTTCTAATTCATTAAATAAAGGTAATGAGGCCTTGGCTTAACTGTACAACAGAAGATATAATATGATCACAGCTTGCACTTTAAGAAAATAAAAACAGAAAACTGTCAACGATGGAAATCTGAAATAAAGAGATAAAATGCCAGGCATATATAAAAGTGTATAAAGAAAAGGTCAGCTACAATGTTTCTGTCACATAGCCATCATTAGAACTGAAAGTTGGAAGTTAAGTATGTCTTTTTCATAAGACTGGAAAAAAAATGTTGACAGAAGAGGCTGTCAACAAATGCATCAATCACAGCAGGGGAAGTTGCCCTGTATTTTGAGAAAATATTTTCTTAATACTGTACAATGAACTTAAACAAATGGCAAGAGCATACATAGTGGCTCAGGAAGGGAACTGTAGACAGGAAGCTATCTTCCACAAATGCACTACTGTCAAACAGCTTTACCTCTCCATCACCTCATTCAATCTTGCATGAACTATAATCTCCTCCAGCTAAATGCTGAGATGACTGAAGTTATTAACTTTGATCCCCACCACAAATTTTGCACCTTTGTAAAGTATCGATTCCCCTAATTTTCCAGAAATGATCAGGACTGTTTACAACATAAGGGCTGGAATCTTTGTGGGGTCAGAATGATTCTAGAGACCTTTAAAAATGGCTGGCAGGGACCAATTCCAGTATTCCCATCCCATTCCCCGCATCTTCAATGCTTCCTGGTACAGGATAAAGATGCAAGTAGCAAGCCCACATGCTGCATTTCAAACCTAGCTGGCTCTATTGCTGGGTAAGTTCTCCTAGACTTTATTTTCATCCATTTGAGTCAGCTTCACCGTGATTAGATGCTCATAGATCCTCAGAGAAGTGGGGAGCCATATCCTGAATTTAGGAACCTTTGGAAAGGCAATCTTAAAAGGTCTTACCCATGCACCCTCCAATACAACTTGGTGCCAACTTATGTGCTTCACCCATGCTCATAGTCCTTGGTACCTTCTAAGGCAACACTCGAACCTCCATGCCCATTCACCCAATTTGTACCAGGTATAGAACATGAGGACTGGTGGAAGAACTCAATAAGCATTCAAGGTCTCATAATTCATGCTCAGTTGAAAGTTGACTCAAAAATATCAATTCAGCAGTGGATTCTGTTTTGACAATTGGAAAGAACCATTGACTTTGCTTGATTAACATCAAATTATATGATTTTTTGTGTTTTTTGGCAATAATTCAGTTTACTTGCACAAAATTAAGAGGTAAAGTGTTTGAAGCCTCTATTATTGAGACTTTAATGGTCTGATTGACACTTTTATAGAGTTATAGGAACAGCAGTTTTTTTTCCAAATAAGATTTATGAATGTGTGATAACAAGGTGTAGAGCTGGATGAACACAGCAGGCCAAGCAGCATTAGAGGAGAAGGAAAGCTGACGTTTCGGGTCTACACCCTTCTTCAGAAATGGGGGAGGGGAAGGGGATTCTGAAATTAATAGGGAGAGAGGGGGAGGTGGATAGAAGATGGATAAAGGAGAAGATAGGTGGAGAGGAGACAGACAAAGAGGTGGGGGTGGAGCCAGTAAAGGCGAGTGTAGGTGGGGAGTTAGGGAGGGGATAGGTCAGTCCAGGGAGGATGGACAGGTCAAGGAGGCGGGATGAGGCTAGTAGGTAGATGGGGGTGGGGCTTGAGGTGGGAGGAGGGGATAGGTGGCAGGAAGGACAGGTTCAACAGAAGATATAATATGATCACAGCTTGCACTTTAAGAAAATAAAAACAGAAAACTGTCAACGATGGAAATCTGAAATAAAGAGATAAAA